CTTTTTTTTGCTTCGAAAACTGACTCAGCAGCCTGTCACTAATGTCTATAGTTAAAAAATCACTGAAATTTATTTATGCTTTATTGTCAAGCTATACATTACTCCGTGGATTATTAAACTGTATATAACTGCTAGAAAAATAGTGTATTAAATCTTTATGAACATACACGATAGTATTATTGTATTATACCTTTTCAAAATGACTTTGTTCTGCTATCCTGAAGAGGTTCCCGTTGACTCAGGGAAGTTACACAGAGGAAGAGTGAAGAGATGTTGTATAAGGGACCAGATTTTGACATTGTAGAGGATTTTTCATGGTTGTGTCTTTATAAAAAGGGAATTTTGGGTGGTCTTAAATATGAATATCAGTGTTTAAATTTTAATGGCAAATAAGCCTTTGTGAATATAAAATATTCTTAATACTTTTCATTGGTATTTATTAATTAACATTTATATATTGTTTTCTGTATGTAATGTTGAAATCTAGAAATTAAGATCTAATTTTTCTTAATCCTTTAAATTATTTTTATAACTTATTCATATACTCTAAAGTAGACGAAAGCTAATCTTTAGAGTTTTGCTTTAGATAATTCCCTCTAATATTATAATTGCTACAAGTTACATGAAATGTATTAGTAAGATAGGAAGAGTTTTAATTGCATTTTTCTTTTGTATAGGAAATTGGGTATTTTAAAATTCCCATTTGAGAGGCACAGTGACATAGAGGGACAGAGAGATCTTCCATCTTAGCTGGTTCATTCCTCCAAGGAGCACAACAAGTGGGTCTGGGCTAGGATGAGTCTGAAAGCCTGGAACTCAATCCAGTCTCTCCCATGAGTGCCAGGGACCCAAGGACCTGGTCCATTATCTGCCTTCCAGGGTGAGCATTACCAGGTTTCCCAAGTGCTGGCTTAGCATACTGCACCACGACTCCCTCCCCTTTCTTAAGACAATAAAGGTTGTTACAGTGTTGAACTTTTCCTTTTAGGAAAGAATTCAGTATAGCATGAGATGCTACTGGACAGCATTTTGCCCATATTAGGATTGGTCCTCTTATGCCCTGCCACTGCTTTACCAACTAGGTTAATAGAGTATTCTACTCTATTCTATTCTATTCATTTGTCATTTCAACAGTGCTCACAGCATACTCACCAGGAAGAGATTCTGTCTCAAGAAACTGTTTTCTCTGCTCTTCCATGAGAAGCAACGCCTCATTTGTTAAGGTTCATGAAATCTTAGCAGTTCATTCAATCTTAAGCCTCTATTTCTAATTCTGGCATTTGAAAAATTTTTCAAACCATCTGCATTTAGTTTTTTTCATTACTTTCATGGTTGGAGTCATGTTCTGCTAACCCCCTATTATTGCTGATATTTTGATGTATTCTCATGAATCACAAATGTTCTCAATGACATCTAGAATGATGATTTATTTACAAAAAATTTTCAATGTATTTTTCCTATGTTCATTAGAGGAATTACTTTCTATGTTAGCTTAGCCTTATGAAATAATTTCTTATATAATAAGATTTGAAAGTTGGCATTGTTTTTTAAAAGACTTATCCATTTGAAAGGCAGAGTTACAGAGAGAGAAAGATCTTCCATCAGATAGTTTATTCTCCAGATAGCTGCAATGGCTGGGGCTGGGCAAGGCCAAAGCCAGTAGCCAGGAGCTTCTTTTGGGTTTCCCATGTGGACCCAAACATTTGTTCTGTTCTCCGCTTCTTTCTCCAGTGCATTAGCAGGGAGTTGGAACAGAATTGGAGCAACTGTGACTCAAACTAATGCCCATATAGATGAGGGCATTGCAGGTGGTGGGTTAAACCACTGGCCCCTGAAATTAATTCTTGATCCGTGGATTGCAGAATGGGTGTTGTGTTTATAGACATGGTAGTAACATTCTCTCCTCACCTAACCCCATCAAAGCTCTGGGGTGACCAGGTACATTTCAATAAACAGTAATATTTTGAAAATTAACTTTTTTCCTAGTATAAGGACTCAGCAGTGTACTTGAGATAGTAACTCACATTGTAAATAGATATGCTGTTATCCAGCCTTTGTTCCATTTATAACACACACAGATATATATATATATAGTCTCAGGATTTGATCCCGGAGAATTTCAGGATTTTTAGAATGGTGAATTCAGATGGGCTTTAAGTTACAATCCCCAACGATGTTTGCCCCTATGAGGAGAACGAGATTGTCTTTCAATGCTTTGGAACCAGGCATTGACTTCTGTGTCCTAGACAGTAAAGTATTCAGAGGTATCGTCTTCTGATGTAAGGTTGTTTTATCTGCATTGAAAATCTGTGGTTCGATGAAGCTATCAATTTTGTTAGCTAATTCTTTTGGATAACTTGGTGGAACTTCTGCATCAGCACTTGCAGGTTTACTCTGTACTTGGATGTTATGGAGGTGGTCTCTTTCCTTCAATGTTGTGACCCGGCCTCTATTGGTTTCAGAATTGTCTTCTGCAGCCTTCCTCAGCTCTCCTAACCTTCATGGGCTTTAAGGGGCTTAGCACCTTGCTCTGCATCAGAGTTTGGTTTAGGTAGCAGTTTTGATCTTCTATCACACTATTAAGTGCTTCTCAACAATAGGACATTTTGCTTTCTTATCATTTGTGTATTTACTTAGAGATGCACTTTTTTATAAAGGATTTATTTTTTCGTGTGTGTATTTAAAAATCAGAGTAAGGGAGAGAGAGAGTGAGAGAATGAACTTGCATCTGCTGTTTTACGAGCCAGGAGCCAGGAGCTTCATCCTGGTGCATGTATCACGTGGGTGCAGGGATGGAGGCATTTGCGTCATCTGTTGCTTTCTCAGGAGCAGGGATGGAAACCGATCAGCTAGGACTTGAGCCAGTGTCCATATGGGTTGCCTGACTAGCTCTACTGTTGGCTTTACTCACTACACCAGATCACCTGTCCTTGGACAAGTTTTTTGGTTTCCTTCAAGGACTTTTCTTTTTTTTTTTTTTAAAGATTTATTATTATTATTATTATTATTTTTTTTATTGGAAAGGCGGATATACAGAGAGGAGAGACAGAGAGGAAGATCTTCCATCCGATGATTCACTCCCCAAGTGAGCGCAACGGGCCGATACTATGCCGATCTGAAGCCAGGAGCCTCTTCCGGGTCTCCCACATGGGTGCAGGGTCCCAAAGCCCTGGGCCGTCCTCGACTGCCTTCCTGGGCCACAGGCAGGGAGCTGGAAGGGAAGCGGGGCTGCCTGGATAGAACCGGTGCCCATATGGGATCCCGGGCGTGCAAGGCGAAGACCTTAACCACTGCGCCACCGTGGCGGGCTCAAGAACTTTTCTTACATTCATACCTTGATAGGGTTTGGTCCATTGTGGCTTTTGATGCGTCCTATTTGCTAAATGTAATACTTGGAGGCAATTGTAGAGTTATTGTTTGAACTAATTTTAGTGCTGTATCTCAGAGACTAGGGAGTTTTGAGGAGGGGTGTTTGGATCTCAGTTGGCTGATCAGTGAAGCAGGCAGAACACATGCCCATTTATCCGTTAGGTTACTGGTCTTGTGTAATAGTGGTTCATAGCACCCCCAAACAGAGGTCACAGATCACCGCAATGCATGTGCCAATAAAAACCTTTGAAATATTGTATTACTGTAGTGAGACACACAGAGATGAAATGAGCAGTGCTGGGAAAGGTGACACCAATAGATTTGTCCAGTGCATGGTTGTCACATACCTTCAATTTGTAAAGAAAAATACAGGACATACAAAGTAACAAAGTGATGTGAAAAAAAAGGAGACATGCCAGTAAATGTTCATTTCATGAGTTTTATACATTTATTTGTATTTGATTTTATATACTTGTGTTATTTGTATTTTTAAGAGAACTTCTAGTCTAAGCACTTTATGCACCATATTTAAGCATATTTTGTTTAATCAAAATTAAAATAGTTTGTGAGGCCAAAAGTGTTTTAGGATCATGTCTTCTATTACTTAAATTGGAAAAACACTGATCGTGACTAGTCTCCTATTTTCTACAAATGGGAACAAAGACTCATGAATAACATTAAGAATAGGAAAGGGTTGTGTTTTTATTTTTATGGTATTTAGAGTTATTCTGCACTGATTAATACTTTTTATTTTATTATGCATAATAACTTTTTTGTGAGGATGTATGAGGATCTCTACTAAAGCCAGTTTTGGTTGTTTTTTAATGATACTAAGGAAAATATACTTATTTATTCAGTAGTTTGTAATTTATATATGCTTTTGTTTATATTGTTTTACATTAAATATTAATAATATGCCTTGGCGATAGGTCATTTCCTTTTTATAGATGAAAACTTGATGAGAGAGGTAAGTGCCCAAAGCCTAAAGTCCCAGAACTGGAGTTTGACTATGTTGTTTTCCGTTGTAATATTCTAAGCATGTGGGCTGGTGCTATGGCAGGACGGGCTAATCCTCCATCTGAAAGTGCTGGTATCCCATACAGTGCCACTTCATGTCCTGGCTGCTCCACTTCGCACTCAACTCCCTGTTTGTGGCCTAGGAAAGCAACAGAGGATGGCTCAAGTCCTTGGAACCCTGGACTCATGTGGGAGCCATGATCCAAAGCTCCTGGCTTTAGATCGACTCAGCTTTGGCTGTTGTGGCCATTTGGGGAGTAAACCAGTGGATGGAAGATCTTTCTCTCTGTCTCTGCATCTCTGTAAATCTGACATTCCAGTAAAAACAAAAAGAAATCTTAAAGTATATCTGCAGTTTTATATTGTTTTAGTATTTCCCGTAGACTGTCATACTTATTTGGACAAATGCAAATCTGATTGAGTACATGACACTATTTCTTTCTAGGCATTACATTTGCTGTTAGTATTGTTCTTCTAGATTATTTTCAGTGTTGTATGTATTTCATTTGCTAATATAAGAGGCATGGAACTTTATCTCTTAATCCACATATACTCTTTCCATAATGTAAGAGTTTTGATTAATCCAGTGTGGTGTTTGATTTTTATTTTACTAGGTCCTGATTGTTCTTTGAATGTTCCATCTACTGAATCTTACTGGATTCTGCCAAATGTGAAACCCTTCAGTCCTTCTGTAGGTCGAGCTTCACATAAAGCAGTTTTACATGGGAAATTTATGTGGGTGATTGGTGGATATACTTTTAACTACGGTACTTTTCAAATGGTCTTGAAGTAAGTATTTTCAGATGTTTTCAATCAGTTTTTCCAAGCTGGACTTTTTTGCTGCTTGTATATATGGTTATTCTTGTGATTTATCTGTTTGTTAAATGGGAGTGATTTAGGAATATATGAACTCATTACGTCCTTAGTTAATTATGTAATTATAATACAGATTTGTTTGGTGTAGAAATTTCATTTCCTCTCTATAGTGTTTTTAATAAATTCTCAGTATGAAAGCATTAATTCCAGATAAAGACAGGCTATGAGCATTTCTAGCATAATAAATCCTGCTACACATACACAACAATACTTTCAATTGCTTCTGTAAATTTTAGTTTACCTGAACTTTTACTTGGTATGTGCTTTGCAAGCAATGGCTCGGGGAATAGTGCTCGTATTATGAAATCAATCACGCATTTGCTCTTGCCTCAACAGAGATCATTCTCTGTCTGGGGATGATAAGGGGAGCCACAGGGATGGCGGCTTTATCTGATTTCTGTAGTCTGTGATTGTATTTGTATTTTATTAACTATTCAAAAATGGAAAAGAGGAAGTAGGATAAATCCTTTGATTTTTAACACTCTTTTTAAGGCTAGTACTCCTAATGTGTAATATTGATACAAGTCTGCCATCAGCCAGTCAGAACTGCCTTTAGACAGAATACTGTAATGGCATACACGCAATAGAACTGTCAGACTATCAAATAAATCTAACACACATAGTGAAAATTGAGTTTGAAGTAAAGAACTAATAAATGTTTGTGTGGGAAAGTTCCTTGCAATATTTATATTTTTTGCTTTGTCTGAAGTATTGCATAGGTCATAATTAACCTAAAATGTTGTTTATATGAAATTAATCTAATTTGGAATCCTCTGTTTTATCAAACTATTTACCCTTTGAATATATTAACTATTGATTTTTAAGATCTCAGAAATGCTAAGAGAAACTTGCTTTAAAATTATTGCATGTGATAAATGAAATGATAAATTCTTTAGGGAGAAAAATTTTAAAGACAAAGTTTTTGTAACATAATATATGATGCTAAAATATAGTAGAAGAATTGAAAAGAGTTGGTAGGAATACAATGAATTAAGAAATAACAAGAATCTGAACAAGTGATGAAATTTAAATGTGGAAGCTAGAAGGAAATGAACTGTAATTAAAGAAAATGAAAAATCTGTGATAACAGAGTTGAACTTTGAATTAAATTGTGGTATTTTCAAAGTTGAATTGTGAAGGTAAGGGAAAATTGTCAAGGACACATGAAAATCTTTAAAGTTTTTATTTTGAAAAAATTGAATACCATGTTTGAAATTAATTTATGATTATTATTTAATACTGTTAAAAAATATATTTTCAGTTTGAACCAAATCAACTTTTTGTGTGTGTGTGTAAAGCCTGGATCTTTGGGTTGTTGTGTTCTGCAGATTTATAAGCTTTTATAGGTAAAAGTCATGTGGTGTCAGATTAGAAATAATTTTGTTGTTTTTACAGGTTAAAGATAGTGTAAGTTTAAATGATTTATCTTCTAAGGCAAAATTATTTTGTAAATGTAAGTTTTAAATGAATACCTGTTAAATTATAAAGAAATTATTTTACAGAATACCCATGAATTCATAATAGTAAAATTTAACATGGGTTCAAGATCATAAGCATACTGGTTTGAATGCTTACTGTTTGCTTGGAATATGTTAAGGCATAACTAACATTCCCATCTTTGTGAAGCTGGGTAAAGAAGAACAATAAAAATAATTACTAAAAGAAATTATAAGTTTATTTATGTCTGTAGGTATTGTCCATAATCTACATGTACACATCTATATGCACACACATACATACATGCAGAGAAAGAAAAAGAAGTAAGCAAATCAAAGTGTCAACAGGAGGGGTTGCAATATGACCATCAAGCTTGGCTTCATGAGGAAGGTGTAAGCTGAGCAGCTGTAGGAGGCCAGGATGTTGGCTCGGGGGAGAGTCAGACAAAAGTCTTAAGGGAAGAGCTGAAATGTTCTGTGGTGCAGTGAACAGGCCCTTGTGGGTTGTGTGGAATATGTGAGAAGGAAGCCTGAAGCTAGAGGGCTAATGGCAGAGCGTGCAATTCATGAAGAGTGTTACAAATCTGATAGGACTGATGGGAAGGCTTTCAGCATGCCTTGACTTAAAAGGTTCTCTGTTGAGAATATACTAGGGATTGGGGGAAGAGCAGGAACAGGATTGTGTTGGGATGAGATTTTCAAGTGAATGAAGAAGAAAAGAACTGAGAAAACAGCAAGAAACTGGAAAGAAGTGAGCAATGAGCTGGGACAAGCACAAGAGTACAAGGAAGCAGAGTGAGGGTTAGGGAGTAATTTAGAATACCGCATGCTGCCGGTTGGCCACGGCAAGGGAAACGAGGATTGGAAAATGTCCGTGGATTTGGTATGAGGACTGTAGTAGGTGGTTTTTCTGGATTTGTGATGTTAAAAGCCTGAGTAGAGATAGATTAATAGAGAATGGAAAGATTGGTAAAGGTGGGGCAACAAAGATGCAGGGCAGTAAAGAATTGCATGGTGGTGCTTTGAATGAGAAGTGAAGCCAAGGGAAGTTTTCCATTTTTTTAAATAAATGAGAGAAATACAGTATTTATGCTAATGAAAATTCTCCTGAGACGAATGATGCAGAAAGTGAAGGGATAACTGCTACGGTTTTGTGGAATCCTGTGCACAAGGAGTGCAGCGGAGGTCAGCAGGATGTGGGGATGAGACGCAGTGTCTGGGGGCTAAGAATGGCTTATTGTGTTTATAGGAGGCTCAAAAAGAGAGGTGAGATCAGTGTGGCCCATAAAACCTAAAATGTTTACTGTCTGGCCCTTTGCAGAAATACTTTGCTGAGTCCTAATTTATACTAATTTGGTGGAAAGCAGTGTGTTGGCTGCGGTCACTGGTAGGTGGGTAGATTTAGAGGTGCAAATCTGTGGAACTTACTTCCTCATTGATTATCTTTCCTCATCTGAAATGTAAACATATATCTTACAACTTCAAGCTAGGAAATAAGGTAAATAATGTTGAGAATGATTTTGGCAGCCCGTATCTTTCTTGTGTAGGGAAACTTTTTTTTTTTTGCCTTTCCCAATGAGTTGGAGGAAGAAAATAAAGTGGGAAGACAATGTTTGATGATGGACTTGTTAGCTTAAAATAGCACCCTGTTTTGGGGCTGCTGGCATTCTCTGTGTATTTTGGAAAATTAAGGTTTGAGTGTAGAGTATGATCATAACCCAACAATAATTCTTTTTGTTAAACAGTTCACATCTATAGTTTGGAACTTGGTTTTCCTATGTTTTAGACTAATAGCAAATCTAATCCATAATCTGAAAGCAATGTAATAGAAGTTTTTGTACTAGTGAGTTTATTTTTTCAATTAAAATTATTACTAAACCAACTTTATTTGTACATAAGGAACGTAACTGTTTTTGGTTAACTGATGTAATATTAAGCCAAGTTTGTATCTAGAATTCAAGATGAATATCCAAAGTAAATGACCATTGTAGAGTAAATTTTTATTTATTTCTGATAAGAAAAGCTAGCTTTTAAAAAAGGCTTTACTTATTTTTATTGGAAAATCAGATTTAAAGAGAAGAGGAGAGACAGAGAGAAAAATCTTTCATTCACTGGTTTCCTCCTCGAGTGGCCGCCATGGCCAGAGACGAGCTTATCCAAAACTGGGATTCTACAGCTTCCTCCAGGTCTCCCATGTGTGTGCAGGGTCCTAGGACCTTGGACTAGCTTTCTTTAAAATTAAAAAACTACTGAACAATTGATTATTGTTCATGTGAATGAATTGATTAAAATGATTAAAGATAATTAGATAAATTAATGTGAATAATAAAGGTACTATTCAAGTTAATGTGCATTATACATTAAATTAATTAAATCCTGATTGAGAGTAAATATGTCAGTCAGTGAGTCCTTATTACAAACTAATACAGTACATAAAATTATGAGCTTATTATTTATACTTCTTACTAAATTTAATGGGTACTTAAATGCAAATGAAGGAAAGCATATAGAAATAAAAAAGCTGAAAATGAATCCTGCTTTATGAAGCTATTCTTTCTTTTTTGCTTTTAGCTACAATTTGGAAAGCAGTATATGGAATGTCGGAACTGTGTCAAGGGGGCCTCTCCAGAGATACGGGCATTCTCTCGCTTTATATCAGGTATCCTGCTTAAGGTGGAAACAGTTTTTTTTTTTTTAAATTAATCTTAGGAGGTATTAAGTCTCAGATTTATTTCCAACACTTAGGAGAAAAATATATAATATGGGTCACAATAAGTTGATCTATCATAGACTTGTGGTTTTTAGTAAAACAATAGATTTTGAAGTAACTGCTGAATAATAGACACAAAAAGTGAAGATTGGAATTTTTTATCTATGGTTTTTACCTAGTCATCTGGTCAGTCATTTAAAAAAATCATGATAAAACACAAACAATGTGAAATTTGATATTCGAACTTATTTATGGCAATTTATTATATTAGCATGATTTAAAAGTGCTGTTAAGAATTACCAAAGGTGAATTAAGATATTTAGTATTTTCCTATATCCTTGATAGATTATAGTAAGAATGTACTATCCATGATAAGCAAATATGAGCTACCTTTTTGATGAATAGTGCTTGATAAAAGTAGTAAATAATTGTGAGTAGCGCAAACCAGTAGAAATAAGACGGTGAAATGCAAATATAGCAACTAACACTCAGATTATTCGAATACTAAAGAGATTGTTTATGAAGAACTAATCAACAACCAGAGTGTTACTTTTTTGTTATATGTAGAAGTCAATAATTTTGTGACAGAACTATTTCACACTCAAATTTTGGAGTGAAACATTGAGTAATGTGTTCTCATAATAGTGATTCAGTGTTCTCACCCTACAGAATAAATACAAATGTGGGTAATTGATTGTGTAATGAAGCCACTTTGAATAAAATACCTTCAAGTACCTTTGTGAAAGTGTAGGTGTTTCCCCTCCTGTTATTGTATGTAAATCAGTTGTCATTATTCATGTATCTCTTGACCTTTTACAAATGAGGCCTGTGTGTGTAGGTTGTTAACACTGACCAAACTTATATGTTTAAATATAACATTTATTTTCATATGCATTGCTAGGAAGCAACTCTTGTCTATTAATGTATGTATTTTAATTTACAGGAAAACATCTTTATGTATGGAGGCAGAATTGAAACCAATGATGGAAATGTCACAAATGAATTATGGGTTTTTAACATACATAGTCAGACATGGAGCACGAAAACGCCGACTGTGCTTGGACATGGTCAGCAATATGCTGTGGAGGGCCACTCGGCACATGTGATGGAGCTGGATAGTAGAGATGTTGTCATGATCATAATATTCGGATATTCTGCAATATATGGTTATATAAGCAGCATACAGGAATACCATATCTGTGAGTTTCTTAAAAGTGTAATTTCTTTATTCTTTGATAATATTTTGATTGTTAATAAAGTCTTCATATGAATTTAGTCAAAGTGATGTTATTTGAGATCAGAATTATGAACTAATATTTAATATTTAATAAGGAGAAATATTACAATGTCATTTTGTAGGAGTTGAGACTATTTTTTAAGTATGAGAAATTCCAATAGGTGGTGCTGTTTCCCTGAATTTTGCTTATGAACCAAGCACTAAAACAAACCCAGTCTCTTTATTATGCATCCCATGATTTCAAGCTTTTTCATTTTTCAATTTTCTGTTCCTGATGTTATTGCTGTATTTTATGTGTGTGTTACTGTTTTATGGTAAGCTTCCTAAGGATACTCTGTCAGCTTCTATCAAAGATGATCTGGTGTGTGAAGGTTGACTAGGGCAATCTGCAGGTGACTTCTCTGTACCCTAGACTGACTTTTGCCTTTCTTTCTTTCTTTTTTTTTTGCTTGTTATTAATACTTTGTTGTTTTTGAATTCTTTATTTTTAAATTTCTTTTTAACACTGTTATATCGTTGAGAGGGATGCATGCCCATATGGGCCTCTAATTAGGGTGAGGAGGGTCAGGTAAGGAAGATGGATGAGACAGATGTTGAATATTTTTTCTCCTGTGTCTACAGCAGAGGAGGGTGGGGGCAGCTTCGTGATGTCAGACTACATCAGCGCCTGGGGATGGGGCACAGTGTTTTGACATCTGAGACCCTGATGTGGGGAACTGTATTCTGAGGGTGTTACTTGAGTGGTATTGATAGATCTGAGAAGTTACTGGTTTTGTTGTGCTAGGGTTGGAAAAAAATCTTTCCAAGGTTTGTTGATCTGACAGAGTTCACCCTAGTGCATTCATACCCAGGAACATGCTGCTAACTTGGGCAGAAGAATTATCCAGTGTGTCTGCTTTCCATTCTCTGACTAGGCAGTTGATGTCTCCTGCTGGCCTAGATGAGCTGGCCATCATGTCCTCCATGTGCATCTGGACATGGTGTCCATTGTACAGGCATCAGCAACTGAGGAGACTGAGTCTTGACACATGTACTTCAAGGGTGAACCACAGATCTTGTGATTTTTGCTGTGGCCTGGGTCTGAGTCCAGTGGTTTAGTTGGGGAGGTCCCTGAAATACATCAGACTTGACTCTTGTTTGTGCCAGCCAGTGCAGGGTCAGGCGCGGTCTTTTTTTTTTTTTTTTTTTTGGAAAGGCAGGTATACAGAGGGGAAGATCTTCCCGTCTGTTGATTCACTCCCCAAGTGGCTGCAATGGCTGGAGCAGAGCTGATCTAAAGCCAGGAGCCTGGAATCATTTCTGGGTCTCTCATGTGGATGCAGGGTCCCAAGGTTTTGGGAAATCCTCTACTGCTTTCCCAGGTGGTCTATCACCTGCAACAGGCAGTGCATATACCTATGGATGCAGCTGCCTGGTCAGTTTTGCCCTAGTTCCATATCTCATGTGAAACAACTGGTTCTATGGCCTAGCTTAGCCAGCCTGCTATAGATCTGGTCATCATACTTTCCAGTATGTGCTGTGGCATACTTGAGATGACCTACAATAACTTACACCAGGCTGGTGCCTCATCCCCAGGTTTTGTGCATGTCAGCCTCTGCTGTGGCCTAACTTGGCTGAGCCTGCATCCTGTTTGGGTGCTGCAGCTTAGCATAGTGCAACCTTCTCCCAGACCTGGCTCACATGTATGCCAATAAGAGCTGCTGCCTTGGCATGCCCCCAGACATGGTTTTCATGCTTACCAGTGGGAGGTACATTCTAGCAGGAGATTACCCACAGTTCTGCCAGGCATGCTCCCAGTTCTAGATCTTGTGCCTGCCAGGGAATATTGTGGTCCAGCCTGACATGACTTGCACCCAGTCCTGACAATTGCCATCTGGTACTGCAGCCTAGCCTGGCTGGCCTGTACCCATTCTAGCATTGATGTGTGTCACCAGGTGCAGTCACTAATCTGAGCTTGGCCTTCCCCCAGTGCCTGCTCTCACATTCAGCAGTGGAAACAGTGGTTCACCAAGGGAAGTTCCCCTACAAGGCCTGTTCCCAGCTCCGGGTCTTGCGTGTGCCATCAGGTCCTGTGACCTAGACTGAGATGGCCCACCCCCATCAGCCTTGGCATTTGCCAGCAGATGATACAGTCTGGTTCAGCCCGGGAATGCAGCAGCCTAGCCCAGCCTGACCCAGCCCCAGCCCCAGCCTCATGTGAACTGGTTGATGTTGCAATCCAATTTGGGCTGGTTTGTGCCCTGTCCTGGGTCTCATGCAAATATACGCTGTGGACTGTCCCAGCCCAGCCCATCCCCAGACCCAGCTCACAGGTGCCAATGGGTATTTCAGCCCAGCCAGACCTGCTCTGCCACCAGCCCCAGCTCTTGTGTTCACCAGCAGGAGCTGTGGCCCTGTAGAAGAGCCTCTCCAAGTTCCCCTAACAGCCCATTCCCAGTTCTGGATCTCAAGCGGCTGTTGTAGTTAAACCTGACATGGCCGACCCCCAGTCCTAGCACTAACTGGTGGGTTCTGTGGCTTAGCTCAACTGGCCTGCACACTGGCTCTGGTCAGTGGGTGCTATAGCCTAGCTCTTTGACCTGTTCTCATATGACCTAATGGGTGCTGTGGCTTAGCTGGTCTGTCTCATATCCATTCTGGCTCTCATGAGCACCAGCAGGTGCTGGAGCCTAGACTAGTCAAACATATCCCCAGCCCCAGACTTTTGTGTTCCTTAGTGGGAGCTGCAACCCAGCAGGAAAGTTCCCTAAGATTACCTACTAGGCCTGCTGCCAGTTCCTGATCTCTCATATGCAGGTGGGCAGCAGTTCTGCTTGGCATGGATTGCCCTCAGACCTGGCCTTTGCGCATACAGGCAAGTGCTGGGTACTGCAACCTTTCCCTTCTGGTAGCTTCCCAGTCCAGTTTCCTTGAGTGTCAGGTAGGTTCCTGTAGTCCAGCCTGGCTTGGCCTGGCACCACTCCAAGATCTTCAGGCAAACCTGCAGGTACTATAGTCCCCAGAGGCAAAACCACAGTTACCCTATAGAATCTACCCCCAGAACTTTTTCTTTCATATTCTGGTGGGTGCTTCAGAAAGCCTGACATGGCCCACCCACCGCTCTGACTCTCAACACTTGTGGGTGGATACTATGGCTTAGTCAAGCCACTCGTGTCCTCCCTTGCCAACTTTTGTGTATATCAGCATGTGATTGGTAATGCTATTTAGCATAACCGAGGTGTCTCATGTGGGCAGGTGCCTTGGCCTGACACAGAAAACACATACACATATACACATCCATGGGCAGGTGCCTTGGCCTGATGCAACGTGAGCGCGCATGCACACACACACACACACACACACCCCGGTTTTCTCCCTGTAAGCCACTCTGTCTCAATTCCTTTGCCTACTTGCGAATGCAGGAATACAGTGGCCTGGGCTGTGAAAGCCTCCATAGCTCATCCCTCCCCTGTCAGATATACCCTCAGTGGCTTTCACTCCAAAGTGTCCCTAGACTCGCTTTCCTGGGTAGTGTAGCTCCTTGCCTCAAGGTCAGGTAGCTGGCATTCCTTCATTGTTGAGAGAGAGAGAGAGAGAGAGAGAGAGAGAGAGAGAGAGAGAAAGAGAGAGAAGGAATAAGCAACTGTGTTGGCATACTGGTATAGTTAACACCAGTTTGGCATTAATTAGGCTCAGAATGCCTGCCAACTGTTGGCTGCTTTTCTCCGAGCAGTGTTAACACTTGCTTAGGAAGAGGGCAGCCTAAGCAGTTACCTACAAATGAGATTTTTGAAATTTTTATAACATTTTCAAACATTGGGACTTTTTAAAGAAATGCTTTAATTTTTTTTTTTTTAAACAAATACATGCTCTGTCTTTGCTATTGGATTTCTGGCTCTGGCCAGTGTTATGAACTTGAGTTCTTGGCTGATTTGTATTTAGACAACTTTATAGACAACTATTTAGAGCAGTTGTGGAGTCTTAATGAGAAAATTCGTTTTCAGACACCATTAACAGTAAGCAGAGAGTAAATAGCATTAACATTAGCAGTAAGTAAGCTAGAGAGAGACTGCCTTGCAAGGACTCCGCTGTTTCCCATGGAGCCCTTCTCCTGAAAGCTGTTCTCCAAGTCTTTAGAATTAGAACATCTAGGTTGAAAATGGGACATGTATCCTTATTTCTTACAGCCCTTTCCACTATTCTTAATCTTTCCTCCTTAAAAAATCTCCTGGCTTTGAGTCTCACCATCTGATTACACCACTTACTGCTTTATCTTTTTGCTTCTCACATTACTGTGCTTTACTTCTGAAGGAATTTAGCTTCTGACCCACCACACCTTTACCAGTAAACAATCGATTTTCTATTTTACAACTGGATAGGCAATGAGGGAGGGAGGAAAGAGGTGAGAAGTAGAAGAGGAGGGAGAAAAGGAGACAGAAGGAGGGAGGGAGTCGAGCAGGGAAAGGAGAGAAACAACGAAAGACCAAGTGCTGACTTCTGACCTAAGTGTCTGCAGTGTCTGGGTGTGCGCTCAGCTTCATCCGGGGTCTGCGGTGGTGAGCCAAAGCCTCAAATTCAGGAGCTTCCATGGAGGGCAGAAACCTCTGATCCCTAGGCCAGATACATACTCCAGTCAGATATTTTATGATTTAATTATTCACCTAAATGCTGCTATTAATACATGACCTTCCAATTTCTTCATGTATTTATCAAAGATTTTATGATTTCACGTTCTACTTGAGCCAGTCTCTCCCGTTGCTTTTTTCTTTATGTTGTTCTGGCACCTTCAGGCTAAAGGCAGGAGCCAGGAATTCTGCTTGGATCTCACGTGGCTGGCATGAATCCAGGCACTTGGGTTATCTTCTGGTGCTTTCCGCAGTGCATTAGGAGCAGGCTCAGCAGCATGGCAGCCAGAACTCAGGCTAGCACCCCGTGTGAGATGACGTCATTACACACGACTGGTTAATCCACTGAACCACACTG